CAGGTCAGTCAATTCTACAGAAATGCAGAGACAAAGGGAATGAAAGACTGTAAGATAAAAAGCAGGTGGCCTCATGACCAAATATAACAGAAATCCATCCTGCAACAGAGGAATTCTCTTTTGAAAGAGTTTCTCAGCTGCTGTTAATCAGAAAGCCAATCCTAAAACATGAGAAGAAAAAGGAGTAACTGGGTGACTTACTTTTCCATGTGTACCAGTGAGCATTTGTGGGGAAGCATTAGAGAACTCAGGAAGGGGAATGTCTTGTGTTCATCTTTGATCTTGTCAAATAACCATAAATCCTTCCCCCCACCATGGCCAAAAAAAAGAAAGACCGAAAAGAAGACAATGACAGCAGCCACATTTTGGGAAAAGCTTTCTGACTGTTTGAATCCCCTGCTGCAAAGATCCCCTTTTCAATGGCTTGTCTCAGGTGAAAGAGCTGTCTGGCTTCAAACTACCCTGTGAAATGGAGGCCAGATTTCCTATTTCTAGAATCTTCCACAAGGCACCAATTAATTATGTCAGTATCTGTGTGCTAACATAAATTAGTTAGGATTCAATATCTTCTCTTGGGTCAAGCTTTTTGTCTGCTGTGCTCTGTCTTCCTTAGACACTGAACCAAACAGAAGTTTAGACAGACCTGCAGAGAGCGGAAACTCTGTATGTGTCCTAAGTAGATTTTTATATTCCTTTTTTTCCCTTTCTATCAGAAATAGATTTTGTGTACCTGAATAGCCAGTGCCTGAAACAGAATGGTTCAGTTGGTAAAGGCCCTTACTACTGAATCGAATGACCCAAATTTGGTCCTCAGATACATGGTGAAAGAACAGAACTAACTCTCACAAGCTGTCATGTGACCTTCACACACTCACCATGTCATACACAACACACACACAGAGGCATGCATGCATACTCACTTACTTATGAATAAATGTAATAAAAAAATGTAAATACACAGAAAATACATGCTGTATTTACACATATAGCAGCTGCTTCATCAAGCTATATCCCAATAAGTTGGTGGATAACCATCTCCATGATGCTACCAATCTGTGAGAATTACAAACAGCAAAATGCCCTATCTATAGCAGATCATGTCTGCAGGGTAACAGAGGCTTTAAAGCATAGTAATTTTCAACTAGACTTCTATCTTTATTTAGAAAGGATGAGGGGAGTGTCTATGAAAAATCTCTATGTTGCCAACAACAGTACCAAAGACACTATAAACAACGTAGAAAATGACATATGCTCATCTGGGGATTTCAGAAAAGTTAACTTTGCAGAATATAAATATAAATTTGCAAGCAGGTGCAGGTGGGCAGAAATGGAGAAGCTTCCCTGTTAGATACTTTGTTGTAATTCAATTTGTTAGACACTGTAATTTATGTTTTCAACAGTATTGAACATTAAACACAAAAACTTGTCACCTAGGTATTACAATTATAGGCTAAGCAATTTGTCTGGGTAACTATAGCAACAACTTCAGATACATTTTATAATACTAATTTGGTATAATTTTAGAATCAAGAATTATAGCTGATTTATTGTAGAAAGTACAAATGCTTTTCCTGAATGGTTGCACATAATTCTATAACAAAAACAAACAAACAAACAAAACAACTGGTTACTTAGCCAAAAGTTAATGTAAATGAATGGATTTATTCTGCATTGCATGTCACGTGATCTGTAACAAAAGCTTCTCCTTTGGGGCCTTAGACTCTGGAGTCCATGCTCACTGGATCATCTGAATGTCTTGTCCTTGGCTGGACTCTTAGCAAAGTCCCACCCAACCCTCCTCCACCTTCCTGTATTTTTTCAGTGAAAAGCCTCTATTTCAGTGACTTGATGATTAAAAGGACATCAAGAGCCCTTAAAAACCACTACCCAGTTAATTGGAACTATGCAAAGGTTCCACTAGGTAACCCTCTATGGCATGGGAAGCAATTGATACAGCCCTTGCGAAATTGCATCTATTTTGAGCCAGAAGCATACAGAAAAATGCTTATTTTAATGACTGTCCCTCAGCAAAAGGCTCAAGTGAGGACAGAAAACAATATCCTATGAGAAACTGATAGCCTAGGAGGGCTTCAGGTGACCCATAGCACCCAGGCATGTGCTAAACTTGCAAAAATGCACTTATATTTATTTACCTTAGTATCATTGTCAACTAGCTTTACTCTTTAGTCTACATTTCTCTGTTTCACTCTTTGCAGACATGGCTGGGAAGTCACCGGAGACAGACACAGATAGGGACAAATACCAGTTTATTTTTACCAGATTCTGAACACCTCACATACTCTAGTCAAATACAGGCTCTCCCACCCAGAAGACCAAAGTCTTTGCTCTCAGCAGGGACCCCACAGATGTTTGCCATTAAGACAACCAAAGGAACTAGCCACATCTTAAAAGGCATAAAATAATGACCATTATCCATTCATCCTTTGTGAGAAAAAGTATGTGTCCACTAAAGACTTCTAAAAGCGGATACCACCAGTTCATAGACTGACTCCATGGTTGTATGCATGCACGTTGTGACTACAGGCAGCATCTTGGGTGAGCCATGGTCTCAAAAGCTTTTACAATAAACAAACTCAAGGGAAAGGAAATCTGTGCTTCAAACAATTATACTTGGAACTGCTTTTTCATGAAAATCAAGCACGCAGAAGAAATTTGAGTGGGCAGAAAGAAATGCACACTTCTTTTGGAGTAAACACAGGAAAGAAAAGTTGCTGCGGTGATCTACAACAGACAGTGTCTGCTTAAGCCTTAAGCCTTAAGTGGTACTATGAACAGCTTCCTCCCAGGGATGGGCTTCAGATTCTCTCAAAAAATGAAAAGTGGCATTAATCAGCAATTGATTCAATGATCCTAACTGGGTGTTAAAAAAACATGTGCTACTGAAGTCTAGTTTTGTCTTTCTGTGTCTCCTTTTAAAAAGACTAACTCCGTAATTAATAACACATCTGCTCTTCACAAACTTGGCCATTATATCAGGGCCCTTCCAGAAAAGATGGACACATGGCTATTTTTAAATAAATATGAATAAATAAGCTGCAATAATTTTAACAACCGTCGTTTTAACCAGGAGCCGAACTCTGATATTTTCACACAATTTCAATTGACTTCTTGTCAAATTCAGTTGTCAAAGGAGAAAGATTTGTAGAGGCTTTTGTAGGAATTTGTCTTCCTGTTAGAGGGCTTATGTCCAACTTTTCTGTCGCTTTTCCTAACTAGGCTTAAAGTTCTCTATGGTTAACAGAAGAACTTCCTCCGCCCTTCACCTTTTGAGATGAAATTACTGCAAAATCTGTGTTTTACCACTACCTAGGATCCCTACCCATTTGCCCAGGACAGAAACACCAACAGGCTCAGCAGCATCCTTTCGCCCTCTCCTAAAGCTCTCTCTTGCCGCCCCCTGCCGGCCATCTCCAGGATGCCGCGGGAGCAGGAAAGTTAAAGCCCAACTCCAGGCAACAGCATCCAGGTACTAACAACAAAAAGATGAGGAGAAGGCGCTTCCCGCCAAAGCCAGGGAAACTGGGACCTAACCGCACTCGGCCCGGGACCAGGGGCGTTCGTGGGGGATCAATCAATCTCCGCCCCCAACAGTTCCTCCGAGCCCAGATCTTCCTTGCCCTGGACCCAGACCTTGAGTCCGGGTACGAAACGCATGCGGCGGCGAAGCTGCCAGCGCACAGGGGCTCCACGAATGGAGCCCACCCGGTTGGTGGATGTCCAGGCCTCACCACCCCTGCCTCAGTCTACCCCAACAAAACAGCCTGGTGGAGTTAAGCCCTAGTCCCGCTATCCCCGGATTTTCACCAACACCGCAAAGCCACTGTACCGAGAGCTGAAAAATGTTCCCGAGTCCACAGGGCTGGGAGGCAGGCGATCCCGACTGCCAGACCCGGCTGCAGCTCCCACCACCATGCGAGCTTGGCTTTTCTCACAGACCTCCACGAGTACCTGAGAGGCGCTGGCCGAGGTGCAGGCTCGCTCACTAGCCGGTCGCACGCCCGAACACTCCAGCTCCTTTCCAATACCTGCTCGGATCCGGGCAAAGGCTACGACCCAAACTTCCAGCCTGTGCACTAGCTCCTCTGCGACCGCCTCCGCACTGAAGGTGGTCCTATCCCTACTCGCGCGGCTGCCAGCCTGTCCCTACCCAGGCGCCTGCAGAGTGACCCTAGCCGAGACCTACACCACCCACAGACAGGCCAGTGCTGCCCCAGGTCCAGTTCACCCACGCAAGGTCTCAGCCGCGAAACCCAGGGACGCTGCGGGGAGCGAACTCACCAGATGCGGGGAGCGTTCCTTCTGCCAGTCATCCAGTGTCTGGGGCCCGGAGCGGCAACAAGGGTCCTCTTCAGCGCGCTGCGGGGGAAGTCGAGGCAGCAGCCGCCACTGCTCCCCGCCACTTCTCCAGAGCTATCCTCTGCTAGCAGCGCACCGGACTGGGGACCAAGTCAGACGCCTAGAGCACGGAGTGCCCAGTTGCGTGTGCAGCTGAGTGAGCAGGCTCGCGCTGAGCCGGGACGACCCTCAAGGTGGCAAAGTTGAATGCCCTCTGCTTGATAGCGGCGAGTGGGAACACCCCAAGGAGGGGTCGCACTGTGGCTCCCCCACAGTGAGAAGATGGGATGCAATGGCCACCTCTCGGCAGGGGCCGCGACCAGCCAGGGTTTGAGGAGCCCACTCCCGACGGGAGCGCAGCGCCCGGGAGTGCGCACAGCGTGAGCAGCCGCCGCCGGGGCCGCCTTCCCGGCGAGTAGAAAAGCACTGGGTGCGCGGGCCCAGAGCTCGCGGCGGGGAGCACAGGGCCGCCTCGCCCCGCCCCCGCCCCGCCCCCGCCCCGCCCCTGCCGCCGCACCTCCCCTTCTCCGCCCCTCCCGGGTGCAAAAGGAGCGCCCCACCCGCCCCTGACTTTCCAAGGCCCCTCCTCTGGGCCCGCCTCTTTCCCAGATGGGACCCCTACACACTCCCCGGGGGTCGTCACCACACCGCACGAGTCCCATTTGTGCCTCCCGAGTGCAAGTTCACCCAAGTGGTGACTTTTTAGGGACTCTCTTTCTCGCCTCGCAGAAGCCTTCTGTGGCTACCCGCCCCCTGTCCAGTTGCTCCGACGTGGCTACTTGGCGGGTTGGGCCTTATAAAGGGCCGCGGGCAGCTCCTCGCAAAGCAGAGACGTGGCGCTTCTACTAGGCCGGCCTCGGCTCCAGGTATGTGCGCGCCTCTCGGCGGATCACGAATGGGAAGAGGGTAGGAGTTTAAGATTCAGTTCTTCCGTATCATCCGAAGACCCGAGGGGTGGGGGGGGGAGTGTGAGTGAATTGGGCCCGGGAGACTCTCTGCTAATTCAGGCTTACTTGATAGATAGATCAGACAAATGAACATCCAGGGAAACAGAGCAAGAGATCCCCACGTGGCCCCTGATGGCTTTCGGAGAGGGTCTTCTTCATAGACAGAGCCAGCTGGGCTAATTTGCACTTCTGCAAGGATTTGAGCCTCACCAAGTAAGCATCCCAACAAAAAGTTCATATTGGAACTAAAGGTAAATGGCCTTGGCAGGGTTGTTTTATTGATGCCATGTTCAGTTCTCCTTCTAAGGAAGTGATCAACTCGGGGAGGGGGGGGGTAAACAATATGTGGGGTTGTTGAATGGGAAAGTTACAGGAAAAAGAGAGCCAGAAACCTTGTGTCCTTGCCTCTGTAGCCATGTGTGACCCCTTCCCTCCCCCCCTTCCTATATGATGGGGTAACTGTGTCTTTAGGCTGTTTTATTTGTTGGTGGTGGTGGGACAATAGAAGCACAAATTGCCACCAATTTGATGTTTCTGTCACCTCAAATGACGAATTAAGTGGAGAAAGCATCCCTGGGAGCCTATGTGTCAAGCCCAGGGTGTACAGTGTCTGGAACCCTGGAACCGAGCATCCAGAGGGTATCAGAGGCCCAACTCTGAGCTACTTAGGGAAGCATGCTGGCCTCTAGCTCTTGGTGGCAACTCCTGGTTTCTAGGTCTTGAAGGAAAAAGCTAATGGGTTTCCTGTGCTTCTCCCTGCTGCTCAAAAGTGGGTGGGAACTGGCGCCATTCCCAACACTCCCCTTGCCTTGCCTGCGTGGCACAGGAGCCTGAGAGGCTCTTGGGAGAAGGAAGCCCGCCAAGGGCCAAGGTCTGGCTAGAGAACCTCAGCCTTATGCTTGAACCTTGTAGCCTTAGTGTGGGCGGCTGGAACCTACCAAGGTGAAGAAAGATAAATTAAGACTCCGGTGTGTTTAGTTAATTCTTATCCTCACCCCTCGATGCTACTGTTAAAAACAATTAAAGCTTTACTTTTTTTAAGAATGAAAAAAAGTGAGGTGCATTATGCCTATGTGCCCAGCACTCTGGTGGCTGAGACAGAAGGATTGATAATTTAAGTCTAGCTTGGGGTGTCACCTGAGGAGACAATATCTCATGTAAACTCACAAGCAGGCAAAGAAACTCACTCTTAGCTTGGAGGCCTAAACCCTGGGCACCGTGAGGATTATCACATAGACTCTCACCCTCTAAATGAAGTGACTTTTGTAGCAGGAAATGGGTTCAATTTTTCTATTTACAGACTACTCTGTACTGCTGTTAAAAAAATCTATCATTAGTGATAATGAATTAGAAATCTCTAATAAGCAAGGACAGAAGCCAAGTCCTCATTTAGAATGCTGTCTTGGTTTAAAAGTGAAGTAGTTCTAAGCTGAGGATGATTGTTGTCACTGACTTGCAGGAAATTTGTGAACTTTGCTGATCTGATGTCTTCTTGACCCAGCTCACCAGGAATGTCAGTCACAAGCACTGAAGGAGAAAGGAGCAGTTAAATGTAAGATACCTGAGGCTCAGCCCCACCCAGGCACTCTGAAATCACGCTGTTTTAAAGGATATATAAATATTTCCTTTTCCTAGTTTTCCTTTTCAAAAGCAGTTCTTGTTAAAGTACTCAAATCATCAGATTGTAAAACTAAATGTGATTACTATTTTACCAAGGACATTTTACTGTGCTCACAATGAAACTCTCTCTCTCTCTCTCTCTGTGTGTGTGTGTGTGTGTGTGTGTCATGTGCATGGTCAAGCACTAACACACACACACACACACACAAACATACTTGTTCTCTCTCTGTATCTGTCTCAAGCATGTACACACACCTGCTTTCTCTCTCGGTCTGTCTGTCTCTGTCTCTCTGTCTCTGTCTCAAGCATTAACTTAAATACGCACACGCACGCGCGTGCACACACACACACACACACACATTTGCTTTCACCCTCTCTGTATGCTTCTGTCTCTCTCTGTCTTTGTCTCTCTCTGTCTCAAGCATGCACACACATACTTGCTTTCTTCCTCTCTGTCTTTCTGTCTCTGTGTCTCTTTTTGTCTGTCTCTGTGTGTCTCTATCTCTCTGTGTGTCTCTCTCTCTGTCTGTTTCTTCTGTCTCAAGCATGCACACACACCTGCTTTCTCTCTCTCCTGTTTCTGTCTCAAGCGTGCGCGCGCGCGCACACACACACACACACACACACACACACACACAGTGTCAGGTGAGCCTTGTGTACAGGGTCAAGCTGATCAAAGGCTGTGGGCCACAACCACTGGTGAAAATGATGAATTCTGGGGCGCTGATCCATGTGACTTGAAAAACGCCATCCATTTCCTGACTCACCTCAGATTCTATTCAGAAAGATGAGGCAGCACTTGACTGTGAACTAATGCAACGATTTTGTATCATCTTTATATTCCCTCCCAGGGCCTGATTGCAGCCCAAGAATGGAGCAGGGAGGAGCTGAAGAGAGCCTGGCCTGGGAGACATGAAGACAGCTGTGGACCACAGTTGGCTTTCCCAGAAGACTCACTAACTGTGGGCTTTGAAATGTAACAAGATTACTAAATTATTAAAAAAAAAAAAAAAAAAAAAAAAAAAGTCCTGGGAATCATGGCCTCTTTACATTTCCTGAACATGAGCCAGATAGATGTTACAGTCACCATTTGACAATTTTTCACCCTGATTTCCAAATTTCCAAGATTGTCTGGTCCTTTATTTATTTATTTATTTATTTACTTACTTACTTACTTATTTGACAGAGTTTCTCTGTGTAGCCCTGCTGTCCTGGAACTCACTTTGTAGAGTAGGCTGGCCTTGAATTCAGAGATCTACCTGCCTCTGCCTCCCAAGTACTGGAATTAAAGGTGTGCACCACCACTGCCCAGCTAATCCTATCCATTTTAACATAGCTGAGCCCTGCTTCAAAGACATGAAGCTTCATGTCACTGTAGCATTGCTAAGAGCTACTCCAGGTTTCTTTATTTTGTAGGATTCTGAAGGTCCACAGTTGTAGTTACAAGTTACCCTATGATATCCATCCATGCAGGTTTTCACAGGCCAAGGCTTTTGAACAGGCTCTAGTCTCTTGGGCTGCACCAAAGTCCCTTTAGGGTTCCTAAGCCCCAAGAAAACTCCCTCCCCTTCAGTACCCACTCCCTGAGTGGTGTTAAGGACACTAGATTTGTTTTAAAAACATTGTACATGTCTGGAAGTTGTCATCACACATATATGCATATATATATATATATATATATATATATATATATATATATATATACACACACACACACACACTTATACTCACTAATACACAACAGACACTCAAACACACAAACTCACACATACACACACACACCCTTTCTCACACACACAGATACACACTCTCTCTGTGTTTTACACACACATACACACACGGAGCATAAACAGATCTGATACAAAGTGCAGATTCTTGATCCTTAAGGAGTTCCATACTGCTAGGGTGTGTGAGGGCACACTCAGCATGGCCCCCTCCAAGTCTAATCTCTATCCAGGGTCTACCTGGGGCTGATCAGAGAGTTGTGATCATGAACTTTGTCCCCATTTATTCCTGATGGCTGACACAGAGTGACCTGCCTTCACCACCCCAAGTGACTTCTTCTTACTAATTACCTCTCAGATTCAGCCCACACTAAGCATGGTGTTCTTTCACCTCAGAGCCATGTTCAAAGAAGCAGCCTGGTTAAGTGTGTGGGTGATAGCAGTAAGGAGTTTCAGGTTGTACCCAGACATACCCTTAGGAAGACATGCTTGCTCTCTGGATGGGGGTGACCGTCGTTTTCAAGTTATTTTTTTTTCCTTGACATATTCTGGGAAATGTCAAGCATTCAGAAAGGCATCACAATTTAGTTCTGCTACATTTCCAGAAATCAAAGCATTCTAGAAATCTGAAAGATTTTGTTTCATATTAGTGTGTGTGTGTGTGTGTGTGTGTGTGTGTGTGTGTGTGTGTGTGTCTGGATTTTCAGATGTTTTCTGGCAACCCAGTTTTCTTTTTTTTATTATTTTTATTTTACATATTGATCTCAGTTCCCTCTCCCTCCCTTCTTCCTCCCTACCTCTCTCCCTTCTTCCTTCCCCCCCTTCCATCTCTAACTCCTTCCCTCCCTCTTTCCCTCTCTCCCCCCTCACATGCACCCTGACCACCCTCCCCTCCCACCCACCCACACTCCACATGTAGGGTGATGCCATCCAGGAGGGTTCATCTAAATCTGTCAAATCATTTGAAGTAAGGACTAGGACTTTTCTCCTGTCTCCCAGTTTTCTTAAGATAAAGCTGGTGCCTTCAAAGCAGCTCAAGTTGTCTTTTAGACGCATGGTATAGAGAGAAGAAGAATGATAAGTTTAACGATGTTTTGATATATCTACAGGAAAGGCAGATGGTCTCTGGCATGAAGATAAAGCATCCTTTTAGTTTCCTTGGAGTTATTTTCTGACATTGAGACTAGTATGTCTTGAGTGTTTATAAGCAAAGAAAGGCTGTACTTACTTAATTTAAAAAGATATTTTGACTTATTAGCTAATATCTCCTACATTCTTCTGTCTCTGAGAAGCAGCTTTCAGGGGACATAAATAGTTTTAGAAATATATTTTTAAAATAGACTTTTGAAGCACAAATTTCTCTGTCCCAGTTTATTTCAATATTTACCCACTAAATTTAGCACAATGACCTTGAATTCAATAAAAGGGATATGTGTAGAATTAATCCAAAGGGAGCATGTCTTATCAAGCAAATTAGGAGGAATAAAGGCTCTTGAGATCTTGTGGCCCTCTATCAAAATTCATTTCTGACCTTCCTTTCCATTCCCACTATTACCGCCTTAATGCAGTATGTCAGTTTTTCTCACTGCAAATACCAACACCTCATCTAATACAGCAGTGTTTGTTCCTCAAACAACCTCACCCCCTCACCACCACCACCACCACCACCACCACCACCACCACCACCAAGCAAAACACCTGGTTTTAAACAAAAACACTTTGTTGCAGCTGGATGGAGCCTTGCTATTCAGTTGGGGGCAACAAGGTGAACATTGTGTCAGGCTCCATGTGATATTAACTCACAGCTGTGATTTTCCTTGTTGTTTTGTTTTCCTCTCCTACATGATTCTGCTCAGGACTTAATGTAGAGGCTAAATTACAGGCACTGTCTTAGTCTGTAAGCAGATATAATCCGGAGCCTGGATGAGAGTGAAAAGAACGTTAAATCCTGGGGCCCGTAGCAGTAGCAGCTGCTCTTAACTGCGATTGTTGAGTTGACTGTACTGAGAAGAGATGCCGGTAAGGTAACAAAGTTGACCTATAGGTGTGCCTGTGATGGGGCACAGGGAATGTGAACTAAGGAAGAAAGACCCACTATGCTAGCTACTTTCTGTTGTCAGATTGACAAAAACTAGAGTTGCCTGGGAAGAGGACACCTCAGTTGAGGAACTGCCTCCTTCAGACTGGCCTGTAGCATGAGTGAGGCATTGTCTGGATCAATGACTAAGACAGAAGGGCACCACCCACTGTGGGTGGCACCATCCCTAGGCAGAAAGCTAGCAAACCAGTAAGCAATACTCCTTCACGGTCCTGCCTTAAGTTCCTGGGCTCACTTCCCTGAGTGAAAAACTGGAAATGTCAGAGGAAATAAACCCTTCATTCCCAGTTTTCTTTTGATCATGGTGTTTATAACCAGACACTTCCCAGTCAGCACGATGTGAGCTGTTCTGTCTCGTCCTTCTCAGGATGAGAAGCTTAAACCTCCCAAACTTGGAACAAAAACTTTCCTCTTTAAATTTTCTCAGGTTTCAGCAACTAACACAAACCCCTGAGTTACTTCCTGTTTTGTTTCATCCATCTGCTCTGCTTCAGATCTGAAAATGCAGATCCACAGGGAGCATCCTAGCAAGTCCAAAAAGTCATCCCTAAACATTAGCCCCAGGCCTCTCTTCCTGACTTCAGCAATGTCATTACACAACACTGCAGGCACGCAGCTGAACTTTAAAACACAAGTGCCATATACTGCCCTGTTGGGGCATGTGAAGTTTCTAGGATGCAGCTAGAGCATCACAGAAAAAAACAAATGTAGCTATAGACACATTAAAAAACTGAATCAGGCTCATTGTGTGGTTCTAAAGGTCAGACAAAGAACAGAGCAAGATGGACATGTGGTACTTAATACCACATTAGTGGAATAAACAATAAAGGTTAATAGACTTCAAAGACATAACATATGAAATCTGTTTTTTTTTTTTTTTTTTTGTTTTTTGAAGACAGACTAACAACAAGACAGCTTATAGCAACCTACATAGCTTCCTAGAAAATTTTGGCTTCTAAATACCGAAGAAGGAATAACAACCCAAAGCAATGTATAATATTAACAAAACTGACCATTAAATATGTTCCCAAGTGAAGGTCGGGGAACACCTCGGCCTGGGTCCTTCTGGGTAGTCTGTGGAAGAAAAAAAAGACATTTTTAAGTCATCATTAATCCTTATTTTTATAAATGATAAAAAAAATAAAAGAAGGCTCTTTCTTCTAGATACTTCTCTTAAACATTGAAATAATGATTTTAAAGAGCAAGATGAAATTTTTTTATTATTACATATCGATCTCAGTTCCCTCTCCCTCCCTCCTTCCCTCTTTCCCTCTCTCCCACACTCTCATGCCCCCAAGATCACTCTCCCCTCCCATCCCCCCCCACTCCACATGTAGGGTGGTACCCTCCAGGAGGGATCATCTAAATCTGTCAAGTCATTTGGAGTAGGGACTAGGACTTCTCTCCTGACTCTAGGTTAAGGGAGTATCCCTCCATGGGGGAAGTGCCCCCAAAGTCCTTTTGTGCACCAGGAATATATCTTGGTTCCACTGTCTGAGGTCCCTTAGACTGCCCAGGCCTTCTAGCTGAGACCCATGTTCAGGGGGTCTGAGTCAGTCCCATGCTGGATTCCCAGCTATCAGTCTGGGGGCCCATTAGCTCCTCCTTGATCAGGTCAGCTGTCTCTATGTGTTTCTGTAGCCTGGTCTTGTCCTGGCTCTCTGCATCTGGATTCCAGTTCAGCTCAGTGTTTAGATGTTGGTGTCTGCTTCTGTTTCCAACAGGTACTAGATAGATGAGGGCTCTATGATGGTGGATAAGTTAGTCATCAATCTCATTATCAGGGAAGGGCATTTATGGTAGGCTTTCACTGTTGCTCGAATTGTTAGTTGGCGTCAGTCTTATAGGCCTCTGGACATTTCTCTAGGTTCAGTTTTCTCTTCAAACCTATAATGGCTCCTTCTTTTATGTGCTCTCTCTCTCTCTCTCTCTCTCTCTCTCTCTCTCTCTCTCTCTCTCTCTTCTCTGGTCTATTCCTCCCCTGACTCAGTCTTCCTAGTCCCATATGCTTTCCTCTCCTCCCCTTTTATTTATCCTAGTTCCCTCTCCACTCACTGCCCTCCCCTCAACTCCCCATATGCTCAGGAGATCTTGTCCCTTTCCCCTTCTGTGAGGGACCTTATATGAATCTCTTAGAATCTTCCTTGTATCCTACTTTCTCTGATGGTATGGATTATAGGCTGGTGATCCTTTGTTCTATGTT